TGGCCGCGGGGCAAGAAAAGGTGAAAAAACGTATTTACAAACGTATTAGCTGCACTAGCCCCATTCATTTAATGAGTGCATTCAAAAGTCCACAGCGGCTAAACTAGACTGGTCCAAAAACATATACTCCCCTCAGACAGCATCTGGAACCAAGAGGACCAAGACCCACTTTTGGACCAAGACCCACTTTAGGACCAACAACCACTTTTGGACCAAGAACCACTTTTGGACCAAGAGCCACTTTTGGACCAAGAGCCACTTTTGGACCAAGAGCCACTTTTGGACCAAGAGCCACTTTTGGACCAAGAACCACTTTAGGACCAAGACCCACTTTTGGACCAAGACCCACTTTTGGACCAAGACCCACTTTTGGACCAAGACCCACTTTTGGACCAACAACCATTTTTGGACCAAGAACCTCTTTTGGACCAAGAGCCACTTTTGGACCAAGACCCACTTTTGGACCAAGAACCATTTTTGGACCAAGAACCTCTTTTGGACCAAGAGCCACTTTTGGACCAAGACCCACTTTTGGACCAAGAACCACTTTTGGACCAAGAACCACTTTTGGACCAAGACAAGAGCCACTTTTGGACCAAGAGCCACTTTTGGACCAAGAACCACTTTTGGACCAAGACAAGAGCCACTTTTGGACCATCCTGTAAAGACGTTTTTGAGAAGAGAGAAGAAAAGCGTCGGGTAATTCTCTTTCTGGTTTTTGACAATTTCAGACACTTAAAAAAAAAAAAAAGGTCAAAACAAGGTCTGAAAAAGAAACAGGCAGAAGCTAACGTTAAAGAAGCCTTTCCTTTTGCACATAATAGAGATTGAGACTAAGTAAAGTGAGATTAGATTCTGAAAAGTGAGATTGAGATCAATTTTCTTAATCTACAATCTCATTTCCAGGTCTAACAACAGGTAAACAAATCCACAAATCTACAGCTGTTGTTGTCACCGAGCCGACCGCCGACTGAAGCTCTCTCCCCGTTTGCATTACCCTGAACTCCCCGACATATTTTTCTTCATCTCCAAAGATGTGTCGGCGGCCGTCCTCCGCCCCCGTCCTCCGCCCCCGTCCCCCGCCCCCGTCCCCGTCCCCCGGAGACGCCGGCGTTTGCTGACCTTTGCAAACGACTTGTCTTTGCTTCATAAAGACGGATGAAACTCGTGATTTGCTCCGATAAAAGCAGCGCGACGTCAAAGTGGAAATGAGTCCACGAGAACAGTGTGATGTATGAGTGGTTTTTACTCTGTTTGTCACCAAATCTGTTGCATTTAAAGATTATAGACCATAAACTGGTCATAAACTGTTGTACTTTGGGGTAAGTTTGGCCACTTTCCTTCTTTCTGGAGCAAGTACAATTTACATATGTACCTTTGTCTGTGTATATAGATAAAACAAGCTAAAAAGTGGCTGAGTTGTTAGCACTCTCGCCTCTCAGCAGGGGTTCGCATCCCGGTCGGAACAGGACCTTTCTGAGTGGAGTTTGCATGTTCTCCTTGTGTCTTCGCAGGTCCTTACTGCAGTAAGGACTGCAGGTCCTTAAGCAGAGACCTTACTGTCCTGGATCATCAGCACTGTCCTGAGCTTTGAATGAGTTATGATACATGTCCACATCGATTCATGGGAGCAGGAGACGGGGAGCTGGGATGGAGCTGAAGTTGGCTGAATGTAAAATGTGAATGTATATAATCCGCTACATGAGAGTCATACATGTGTGTGTGTGTGTGTGTGTGTGTGTGCCTCGATCGCCAATACATGTTGATTCTAACAATATGCACAAGGCAGAATCTTTCCAATACATGTTTTGGTAATATCAAGGCTGAAGCTACTGGCATCGCGGCTAATGCTAATATGCTAATAATGCTAATATGCTAATAATGCTAATAATGCTAATAATGCTAAAAAGTCTCCATTCCTCTGCTGTATAATATCACTTACATTCTGTAACGTCTTTGTTTATGCCTCTACCATCAACAATAAAACATTCTGTCTGAATTAAAGACACGATCCTAGACTGTTGTTTTCTTCACTTTAGTAGTAATCTTTATTTATATATCGCCTTTTCACTGCAGATCTGAGTCTCAAAGCGGTTTACAATTGTTATTTTTGGGCACTTGTCTCTCACTCCACACAGAGATGGGAGCGGGGCCAGTACAGGAGGCACATGCTAGAACTATTGGACATGTTTTTAGTGGTAGGAGAAACCGGAGTACCCGGAGGAAACCTACGCAGACACGGGGAGAACATGCAAACTCCACTCAGAAAGGCCCTGGTCCGACCGGGATTTGAACCCAGGACCTTCTTGCTGAGAGGCGAGAGTGCTATCCACTCAGCCACCGTGCCGCCCAACTTTAGATTCTAACCCACAGCTAGTGTTACAGTCAAGCTTTTGCACTGCTAAACAACTGAAGGTTTGGATAAACACGGATACTGTAACTTTTCCGTCTGTCTGTGGGTTAACCTCTTCAGCCCGATTGCGCCCCATTCGGGGTCCGCCCCCCCTTGCTGCAGCTTGTCCGGACCGTAGCTGACATATACATCAACTGACAATCACATGTTTCACATCCTCGTGTTCGGACAACTCTCAGCTACAACATTATCCACTTCAATTTCAGTTCAACAGACCCAGGTTCAAACAACAAACCACAATCTGACAAATCGTCATAAAGCACATGTCGAAACAAATGTTTGCTTTGGCGTCACAAGCGCCCTCAAAACAATAAGTAGCCCTGCTGTCAGCATACCATTAGAAAGCCCTCTCCGAGCTGAACACAATGATATTAGTCTGGTAACGCTAGCTCTAATACTCGCTGACCAAGCCGCAGACGAATGCCAGAAAACAAAGCCGTAAAACATCAGCGTTGAAGTAAAAGTCGACTTACTTTTGCTGTTTTTTCATCACAAGTCATTTCCATAGGAATAAAAGTCCGTTTTTTCTTGTATTCAACCTCATAGCGAGGCTTTCTAGCGACCTGGCAGATACCAGTTACTTCCTCCTTCTGTAAGAGGCCCTTTGTGATAGGCTGCACCCGTGCGTCATGTCACGTACCTCTGTGTATCTCTTCCTGTGATTGGCCACAGGTGCTGTCCATCAATACGTTTTCAATGGTTTTTGATAGCCGAAGGTGTGTTCTTTCCAAAATGGTATAACATGCCCTGATTGGCCAAAGTACCGCGGAGGCGTGTACATGCGTATAGTTGGGGCAGAAGGAGGCTGTGCGCAAAGCCTTTACGCACGGCAGGTACTCGGAATTTTGACGAAATTAAAAATGGCAAAACAGCGTTATACACGCGAGGAGGTTGTAGAGCTTCTTGCTAGGGAACCGGGTGCCAAAGTTTATCTCGATGACTCTACAGACATGTTTGTGCCATTTGGCACAATTTTGGCACAGTTGGATTCCGCCTGGACTTTTTTTCCAATTCCATGTACAACTCTGCAGTGGTTTGTTTATTTGGCACAATTTTTGCTGGACTGGTCCAAAATATCGGGAACTGTCAATTTTAGTTCTTATTTGCTACACCACAGACAGGGAAAAAGCTTTTTTGAGGGAAAATATGTGTTTTTTTTTAGGCGGAAGTTAGAATTGTCTGTTTCAACCTAATTTTATTGGCAACCAATACAATTTATCATCTTTTTTCACTTCCACAGCAATCCCCAAGGTCCACCAGGTAATTTGGTACCAAGTTTGGCCACATATCTGGCTAAATACTATATGAAACCTTAGTAAATGTAGATTATAGCTTTTTCGGGAAAAAAGGCCTCTGGGCTTAAGAGGTTTTAAGGAACTCAGAGTTAAGTTCCTGAAGGACACATCCTGCATCGTACAGAGCCGTGTGAGTAACGATCGATGAATGAACGTGTCATTCTCAACAAAACACTGCGTCTGTGGCTGTGTTCTTTTCAGCTTAAACATTCACAGTGTTTATCTAAAACACCGGCTCATAACTGACAATTAAAAAAGATGGGTATATAATAACAGCACATTGTGACTGCATGGCTGGGTAAATAATTAATCCTTAGAGGTAAAAGTGTTTGCTAGTGAAATGTTGGCGAGACACTTTTCCTGCGTCTTTTCCTAAAGTCCATAGTGTGAGGCTCTTTATTAATCTCTTCACGAGGAATCCTAAAGTATCCATGATTAAAGGTTTCACGACTCGATTAGTTAGAAAACTTTAAAACAACACGATCCATCAACGCATTATGGAGACACTTCTTACCCGTTTGAAGGGAAACCGGAGCACCTGGAGGAAACCAACATAGAGAGAACAAGCAAACACCACAGAAAGGTCCAGGACTTCCAGAGTGAAATGTCTGTTTTTTCTCTTGGACTTTCATGTTTTTGGCAGTTTGTGGATAAATGGGGAATAATGATAGAGATTAGAGACGTTTATTTGTGTTAAACTCAAAAGTGCTTAAAAAAGAGAGAAACATGACACCAGGCATTACTCCTCTCTCTCTCTCCTTTCTCTCTCTCTCCTCCTCTCCCCCTCCTCCTCCTCTCTCCTCCTCTTCTCTCCTTCTCTCCCCGTCCTCCTCCTCTCCTCCTCCTCTCCTCCTCTTCTCTCTCTCTCCTCCACTCTCCCCCTCCTCCTCTTCTCTCCTTTCTCTCTCTCTCCTCCTCTCCCCCTCCTCCTCCTCTCTCCTCCTCTTCTCTCCTTCTCTCCCCCTCCTCCTCCTCTCCTCCTCTTCTCTCTCTCTCCTCCACTCTCCCCCTCCTCCTCTTCTCTCCTTCTCTCCCTCTCCCCCTCCTCTTCTCTCTCCTCCTCTCCTCCTCCTCTCTCACTCTCTCTCTCCTCCTCTCTCCCTCCTTCTCTCCTCTCTCCTCCTCTCCCCCTGCTCTCTCCCTCCCCCTCCTCCTCTGTCTCTCCTCCCCTCCCTCTCCTCCTTCTCTCCTCTCTCTCTCCCTCCTCCTCTTCTCTCTCCTCCTCTCCCTCTCCTCCTCTCTCTCTCCTCCCCCCCTCCTCTCCCCCTCCTCTCTCCCCTTGCGTCACTCACCTATGATGTCGAACCACCGCTGCCGCTGGGTCTCGGTCAGGATGATGCCCACCATGTGATTGACAGGCTCGGTTTCCATGATGGGGAAGTTGAACTGTGGCTCCTCAAACGTGATTGGCTCAGAGGCGGGAGGTGGGACAGAAATCCACTCGACGTCCAATCGTGCGGAGTTGGACCGCGACGGCTTTCCTTGGTCCGTCGCTTTGATCTGGAAGGAACAAGACACGGGATGTAGAGAAGGACGGATGGAGATGTACTCGGATACAGCAGATTAGGGCCCTTTAATGATGACAGATTAGGTCCCTTTAATGATGACAGATTAGGGCCCTTTAATGATGACAGATTAGGGCCCTTTAATGATGACAGATTGGGGCCCTTTAATGATGACAGATTAGGGCCCTTTAATGATGACAGATTAGGGCCCTTTAATGATGACAGATTAGGGCCCTTTAATGATGACAGATTAGGGCCCATTAATGATGACAGATTAGGGCCCTTTAATGATGACAGATTAGGGCCCTTTAATGATGACAGATTAGGGCCCATTAATGATGACAGATTAGGGCCCTTTAATGGTGACAGATTAGGGCCCTTTAATGATGACAGATTAGGGCCCGTTAATGATGACAGATTAGAGCCCTTTAATGATGACAGATTAGGGCCCTTTAATGATGACAGATTAGGGCCCTTTAATGATGACAGATTAGGGCCCTTTAATGATGACAGATTAGGGCCCTTTAATTATGACAGATTAGGGCCCTTTAATGATGACAGATTAGGGCCCTTTAATTATGACAGATTAGGGCCCTTTAATGATGACAGATTAGGGCCCTTTAATGATGACAGATTAGGGCCCTTTAATGATGACAGATTAGGGCCCATTAATGATGACAGATTTGGGCCCTTTAATGATGACAGATTAGGGCCCTTTAATGATGACAGATTAGGGCCCTTTAATGATGACAGATTGGGGCCCTTTAAAGATGACAGATTAGGGCCCTTTAATGCTGACAGATTAGGGCCCTTTAATGATGACAGATTAGGGCCCTTTAATGATGACCCAACATGAAAATCTTACATATTGCTACTTTAATCCTTCAAAAATTCAAAAATTCAAAATCTCTTGAAAAATCACGTCAACAATCCGCATCAGAGACAGTTTAAAATGTTGTCTCTGAATTTGTTGCCGTGGAAACGATCTGACACCGATGTCAGTGTCGAGAAAACAAAAAAACAGAACCGTGTCCAAAACAAATCACAGCTTTAACTTTAGACACAGAGTCAAACAGAACACGGCTGCAGCTTGTGATGTCACTGTTTATGCAGGAGCGAAGACGACAGGTCATCAGGGCTAATGACTACACTTTAGACACACACACATATACACACACACACACACACACACACACATCGACACGTACAGACACAAACACATGCACACACACACGTGGAGGACGGACGTGGTGTCATTTTGGAGGCTTGGGTGGGTGCTACGTCTCTCTCTCTGGTGTCATTTTGGAGGCTTGGGCGGGTGCTACGTCTCTCTCTCTGGTGTCATTTTGGAGGCCTGGGCGGGTGCTACGCGTCTCTCTCTAGTGTCATTTTGGAGGCTTGGGCGGGTGCTACGTCTCTCTCTCTGGTGTCATTTTGGAGGCTTGGGCGGGTGCTACGTCTCTCTCTCTGGTGTCATTTTGGAGGCCTGGGTGGGTGCTACGTCTCTCTCTCTCTAGTGTCATTTTGGAGGCCTGGGTGGGTGCTACGCGTCTCTCTCTCTAGTGTCATTTTGGAGGCCTGGGCGGGTGCTACGTCTCTCTCTCTAGTGTCATTTTGGAGGCCTGGGCGGGTGCTACGCGTCTCTCTCTCTGGTGTCATTTTGGAGGCCTGGGTGGGTGCTACGCGTCTCTCTCTCTGGTGTCATTTTGGAGGCCTGGGTGGGTGCTACGCGTCTCTCTCTAGTGTCATTTTGGAGGCCTGGGCGGGTGCTACGCGTCTCTCTCTCTGGTGTCATTTTGGAGGCCTGGGTGGGTGCTACGCGTCTCTCTCTAGTGTCATTTTGGAGGCCTGGGCGGGTGCTACGCGTCTCTCTCTCTGGTGTCATTTTGGAGGCCTGGGTGGGTGCTACGCGTCTCTCTCTCTAGTGTCATTTTGGAGGCCTGGGTGGGTGCTACGCGTCTCTCTCTCTGGTGTCATTTTGGAGGCCTGGGTGGGTGCTACGCGTCTCTCTCTCTAGTGTCATTTTGGAGGCCTGGGTGGGTGCTACGCGTCTCTCTCTCTAGTGTCATTTTGGAGGCCTGGGTGGGTGCTACGCGTCTCTCTCTCTAGTGTCATTTTGGAGGCCTGGGTGGGTGCTACGCGTCTCTCTCTCTAGTGTCATTTTGGAGGCCTGGGTGGGTGCTACGCGTCTCTCTCTCTAGTGTCATTTTGGAGGCCTGGGTGGGTGCTACGCGTCTCTCTCTCTAGTGTCATTTTGGAGGCCTGGGCGGGTGCTATGCGTCTCTCTCTCTGGTGTCATTTTGGAGGCCTGGGCGGGTGCTACGCGTCTCTCTCTCTAGTGTCATTTTGGAGGCCTGGGCGGGTGCTACGCGTCTCTCTCTCTAGTGTCATTTTGGAGGCCTGGGTGGGTGCTACGCGTCTCTCTCTCTAGTGTCATTTTGGAGGCCTGGGTGGGTGCTACGCGTCTCTCTCTCTAGTGTCATTTTGGAGGCCTGGGTGGGTGCTACGCGTCTCTCTCTCTGGTGTCATTTTGGAGGCCTGGGTGGGTGCTACGCGTCTCTCTCTCTAGTGTCATTTTGGAGGCCTGGGCGGATGCTACACGTCTCTCTCTAGTGTCATTTCGGAGGCCTGGGTGGGTGCTACGCGTCTCTCTCTAGTGTCATTTTGGAGGCCTGGGCGGGTGCTACGCGTCTCTCTCTCTAGTGTCATTTCGGAGGCCTGGGCGGGTGCTACGCGTCTCTCTCTAGTGTCATTTTGGAGGCCTGGGCGGGTGCTACGCGTCTCTCTCTAGTGTCATTTTGGAGGCCTGGGTGGGTGTTACGCGTCTCTCTCTCTGGTGTCATTTTGGAGGCCTGGGTGGGTGCTACGCGTCTCTCTCTAGTGTCATTTCGGAGGCCTGGGCGGGTGCTACGCGTCTCTCTCTAGTGTCATTTTGGAGGCCTGGGCGGGTGCTACGCGTCTCTCTCTAGTGTCATTTTGGAGGCCTGGGTGGGTGTTACGCGTCTCTCTCTCTGGTGTCATTTTGGAGGCCTGGGCGGGTGCTACGCGTCTCTCTCTCTAGTGTCATTTTGGAGGCCTGGGTGGGTGCTACGCGTCTCTCTCTAGTGTCATTTTGGAGGCCTGGGCGGGTGCTACGCGTCTCTCTCTCTAGTGTCATTTCGGAGGCCTGGGCGGGTGCTACGCGTCTCTCTCTCTAGTGTCATTTTGGAGGCCTGGGTGGGTGCTACGCGTCTCTCTCTAGTGTCATTTTGGAGGCCTGGGCGGGTGCTACGCGTCTCTCTCTAGTGTCATTTTGGAGGCCTGGGTGGGTGCTACGCGTCTCTCTCTCTGGTGTCATTTTGGAGGCCTGGGTGGGTGCTACGCGTCTCTCTCTAGTGTCATTTTGGAGGCCTGGGTGGGTGCTACGCGTCTCTCTCTAGTGTCATTTTGGAGGCCTGGGTGGGTGCTACGCGTCTCTCTCTAGTGTCATTTTGGAGGCCTGGGTGGGTGCTACGCGTCTCTCTCTAGTGTCATTTTGGAGGCCTGGGTGGGTGCTACGCGTCTCTCTCTATTGTCATTTTGGAGGCCTGGGTGGGTGCTACGCGTCTCTCTCTAGTGTCATTTTGGAGGCCTGGGTGGGTGCTACGCGTCTCTCTCTAGTGTCATTTTGGAGGCCTGGGTGGGTGCTACGCGTCTCTCTCTTTGGTGTCATTTTGGAGGCCTGGGTGGGTGCTACGCGTCTCTCTCTAGTGTCATTTTGGAGGCCTGGGTGGGTGCTACGCGTCTCTCTCTCTAGTGTCATTTTGGAGGCCTGGGCGGGTGCTACGCGTCTCTCTCTCTAGTGTCATTTCGGAGGCCTGGGTGGGTGCTACGCGTCTCTCTCTAGTGTCATTTTGGAGGCCTGGGTGGGTGCTACGCGTCTCTCTCTCTAGTGTCATTTTGGAGGCCTGGGCGGGTGCTACGCGTCTCTCTCTTTGGTGTCATTTTGGAGGCCTGGGTGGGTGCTACGCGTCTCTCTCTAGTGTCATTTTGGAGGCCTGGGCGGGTGCTACGCGTCTCTCTCTAGTGTCATTTTGCTTGTCTGATTCACAAAGGGCCGATGACATGCGTGAGGCTCGGGCAGCTGCTTTTTAGAGGATTACCCACGCTTCATTTAGCCTCTTTAGCTCACTCCGCCGGGCTTTTACAACACACCAATCATGACAAGTGAGAGAGGGGAATTTGGGCGATTTCAAAAAGAAATAAGTTTAATGTTTAAAGCGGCCGTCACAAGGTTTCAAACTACGGCAAATGGTGACAAATTGTTTTTGGGGCCTAATGCCGCTTCCCTTTTATAAAACACCAACCATCTTTACAAATTCAATGTGTAAAACTGGTATGACTGCGAAGTTTTGTAAATAATTGAATGTGATAGAATCTAGGTCTAAAAACTCTCTGGTTATCATACTGTATGTATGCAATGTGTTCGTGGTCTCTGTTGTATGTTTAGATTTAGCTTTTTCAGACAGAAAAGTAGAAAAGAGAGAACCACCCTCACTCAGCCCAGTCTGTGTGCAAAAGTCTAAAAATGTGAAGATGTTGTGGTGTGATTTAAACAACATGATTGGATGACGAGGTGATTAGCAGCTTAAACGTTAGCTTACATTAGCTTCCATAACCGTTAGCTCACCAAGATATGACAAATAACAGTGTCCTATAGCTTCAAAACTTCAAAAAACTCTACCGCAATAAAAATACACATATTAGCCACATTGACATACTGTATATATTTGTGGGAACGTGCAATATCCTTAATGTTTTTGTCATTTCCTAATCCTTTGGGGAGCTACTTAGAAAGCAACAGAGAGCTACTGATAGCTCCCCTGCTACAGGTTGGAGACCCCTGCTCTAGTGGGACAAAGATAACTCGCTCCTGGTTCTCACCGTGAGGATGCTGTAGTTGCCGGGCCCGAAGTCTCCGTGGGTCCAGACCTCTCCGCTCTCCGGGTCGATGTGAAAGCCCTCCCCCGGGACCCCCTGCAGCCTGTAGGTCACGGCGGCGTTCGCTCCTTCGTCGTCGTCACGGGCAACCAGCCGGCACGCCAACCGCCTCCCCGCGCCCTGCTCCTGCGGCGGCAGCTTCACGTGGAAGAGTTTGTCCGTGAACTTGGGCCGGTTGTCGTTCAGGTCCGAGACGGCGATGACGACGGTGGCGGTGGATCTCAGAGGAGGCGAGCCGTTATCGGACACGATCACCTGCAGAGGACCAGACCAGGTTATTTATATGGCACAGTTCATACACAAGACAACCAAACAAGACAGAATCAGTCACACCAGACACTAAAATCTTTAATATTCAGTTCATTAAAAAGAGAAAAGATACAGAACTGTTTTTAACCCGGATTTGAACATTGCCAGAGAAGAAGCCTGTCTCACATTTTCAGGAAGACTGTTCCAGATGCTGTCTAGTCCTGACTCTGGGACCAGCAGGAGGCCAGACCTTCAGATTCAGTTTTTTCTCTATTTGCCGTTTGTGTGTGTGCTTTTTTTCATTCTAGTTGTTGCCTTGTTAAGTTGAGATATTAAGATTTTTTGACCAATGACATTCAAGATTTTGTGTTTATTTGGGCATTTAAAAAACATAAAAATAATAATATGACAGAAGTGATTAAGGCAAAAACTTGTACATATAAAAACATTTTCTAGTTTGCATACTTCTGACTAAGAGCCCCTTTTCAGCCACATCTGATCTGAGCATTCGCTGTGGGCCAAAACACAGACAGAACCTCAATGTTTTAGAGCCACAAACTACTGTACAGTTCTGTTTGGCAGTTTGAGATTGAGGTACCCCAGCTTTAATCTCACTCCTCAGTCTGAGTAAACGTAGATAAATGTTGATTTGTACATATTAAAAAGACCTCAAACATTCACATTATACGTTTTTTCATTCCCTCACTCACGGTTACTGACTTTAAAATCTACTTTCTCTACTCACTTTGTTCAGAATCACAAATATCTCATGGGGACTGAATCAAAAAGCACGTTACCTGGACATTCAAAGCATTCTCACTTTATTCATGTTAACATTTCCAGTTGATTTCAATGACTCCTGTAATCGAGGCACGTGAATGACGCTCAAGTGTTAGTGACAGAGATTTGAGGCTTTCTGTGTTTTCCCATAAAGTGCATAAAGTTTTGGATCTGCACAAACTCTCTCTCTGAACAGAATCTTTATGTATGAAGAGCCGTGTCCCACCTCGACGCTGTGCTCCGGCTTCTCCTCTCGGTCCAAAGCGGCGTTTGTGCTGATTACCCCTGAAAAACACAAGCGCAGACTCGGGGTTAGCCAGGGACCAGCAGCAGAAAGACTAACGAACTGGAAACTTTCTCCGGATAAACTCAGAAACTTGAATTATTAGTGGAGAGTAGGAATGGGAAGAGAAGTCGGTTATTGGATAATGATAATGGGGTTACGCTTCAGACACTGTGGTCATAAACTACTGCTGTAAATCCTGGGAGTTTCGCCGGGAGTTCCCTTTCACAAAGCACTTCAAAAGCATTAAACTTTAGAATATAGAATGTGTATGGGCTTGTTGAACCTTTGTTAATAAAGAGAATTGAATTGAATTGGACTTTAGCCACAGCTGCCTGAGAGAGGAGAGGCAACCAGTATGTGCCACTGGCCCCTCCAACCACCAACAATCATACACACATCTGCACACACACACTTACACGCGCACACACACATACTTACACGCACGCACACACACACACAGCATTGTGGGTGAAGTGTCTTGCACAAGGACACAGCAGGGCAGATTACAGCCGCCCCACTGTACTGTAGCACCTGCTGTTCCCAGAGGTCTCCCATCACAGCACTAACCAGGCTCGGCCCTTTTTTACACATAACAAACATTTTGAATCTTAAAAACAACAGAAACAAACAATCAAAACAAAACATGTCGGACAGCAGCACGACTAATAACTTCTACAAATTAGAAAAAAAGGTGCGCTAAAGTAGCATTTAGCTTTAGCATAGTAGCATTTAGCTTTAGCATAGTAGCATTTAGCTTTAGCATCGAATTGTCACATTTGAGCCTATTTCCACTTAATACTACTATTACTATTACTAAACAGTGGTATAAGAGTGAGTTTGTGTTGCCCGTGATATCACAACAGCAAAAACAAAACAACAGCAGGGTTAGCGGAGGACTAGCGCTAGGAGGCTAATTAACGTCTTCGCTAACTCCTGTAACTGCAGCTCCTGGATTATGCATGATGTTTGTGCTGAAAGGTTTTGGGCCGCGATCCCAAACACTGCAACTGTCCAGAGTTCAAGCTGCAGCACTTTACTGGTCTTGCACTTGTACTGAAACCGTTTACGTTCGTTGGTTTCACAGAGACTATTGTTGCTGATATTTTTTTAGCTTGTCTTAGTCTGTATGTCTAGTTAGCAACATCATTCAAGCAGTTATGGGTGGATTTTAGTATTTATAAATCCTGAAACCTTGGGCCTGAACTCAACACAGAGTCCTGCGAGTTCCCTTTAACAAAGCACTTACAGGAAAGTGAAAATAAAACGTGTACAAGGAGTTTTGTAAATGTTTTGTAAATAAAGAGATTTGAATTGAATTGGGACAAAGAACAAATGTCAACTGAAGTGACATGTCTTTGTGGCCTCATTGCGATCTCATTGCGGTCTCATTACGGTTTCATTGCGGTTTCATTGCGGTCTCATTACGGTCTCATTGCGGTCTCGTTGCAATTTCGTTGCGGTTTCGTTGCGGTCTCATTACGGTCTCATTGCGGTTTCATTGCGGTTTCATTGCGGTCTCATTACGGTCTCATTGCGGTTTCATTGCGCTTTCATTGCGGTTTCATTACGGTCTCATTACGGTCTCATTGCGGTTTCATTGCGGTCTCATTACGGTCTCATTACGGTCTCATGGCGGTCTTATTGCGGTCTCATTGCGGTCTCATTACGGTCTCATTGTGGTTTCATTGCGGTCTCATTACGGTCTCATTGCGGTCTCATTACAGTTTGGTTGCGGTCTCATTGCGGTCTTATTACAGTTTTGTTGCGGTCTCATTGCGGTCTCATTGCGGTCTTATTGCGGTCTCATTACGGTCTCATTGCGGTCTCATTACAGTTTTGTTGCGGTCTCATTGCGGTCTCATTGCGGTCTTATTGCGGTCTCATTACAGTTTTGTTGCGGTCTCATTGCGGTCTCATTGCGGTCTTATTGCGGTCTCATTACAGTTTTGTTGCGGTCTCATTGCGGTCTCATTGCGGTCTCATTACGGTCTCATTACGGTCTCATGGCGGTCTTATTGCGGTCTCATTGCGGTCTCATTACGGTCTCATTGTGGTTTCATTGCGGTCTCATTACGGTCTCATTGCGGTCTCATTGCGGTCTCATTACAGTTTGGTTGCGGTCTCATTGCGGTCTCATTGCGGTCTCATTACGGTCTCATTACGGTCTCATGGCGGTCTTATTGCGGTCTCATTGCGCTCTCATTACGGTCTCATTGCGGTTTCATTGCGGTCTCATTACGGTCTCATTGCGGTCTCATTGCGGTCTCATTACAGTTTTGTTGCGGTCTTATTGCGGTCTCATTGCGGTCTCATTACGGTCTCATTGCGGTTTCATTGCGGTCTCATTACAGTTTTGTTGCGGTCTCATTGCGGTCTCATTGCGGTCTCATTACGGTCTCATTGCGGTTTCATTGCGGTCTCATTACGGTCTCATTGCGGTCTCATTGCGGTCTCATTGCGGTCTCATTACAGTTTTGTTGCGGTTTCATTGCGGTCTCATTACGCTCTCATTGCGGTCTCATTGCGGTCTCATTGCGGTCTCATTACAGTTTTGTTGCGGTCTCATTGCGGTCTCATTGCGGTCTCATTACGGTCTCATTGCGGTTTCATTGCGGTCTCATTACGGTCTCATTGCGGTCTCATTGCGGTCTCATTACGGTCTCATTACGGTCTCATTGCGGTCTCATTGCGGTCTCATTACAGTTTTGTTGCGGTCTTATTGCGGTCTCATTGCGGTCTCATTGCGGTCTTATTGCGGTCTCATTACAGTTTTGTTGCGGTTTCATTGCGGTCTCATTACGGTCTCATTGCGGTCTCATTGCGGTCTCATTACAGTTTTGTTGCGGTCTCATTGCGGTCTCATTGCGGTCTCATTATGGTCTCATTGGGGTCTCATTGCGGTCTCATTACAGTTTTGTTGCGGTCTCATTACAGTTTTGTTGCGGTCTCATTGCGGTCTCATTGCGGTCTCATTGCGGTCTCATTACAGTTTTGTTGCGGTCTCATTGCGGTCTCATTACAGTTTTGTTGCGGTCTCATTACAGTTTTGTTGCGGTCTCATTGCGGTCTCATTGCGGTCTTATTGCGGTCTCATTGCGGTCTCATTGCGGTCTCATTGCGGTCTCATTACGGTCTCATTGCGGTCTTATTGCGGTCTCATTGCGGTCTCATTGCGGTCTCATTACAGTTTTGTTGCGGTCTCATTGCGGTCTCATTACAGTTTTGTTGCGGTCTCATTGCGGTCTCATTGCGGTCTCATTACAGTTTTGTTGCGGTCTCATTGCGGTCTCATTGCGGTCTCATTGCGGTCTCATTGCGGTCTTATTGCGGTCTCATTACGGTTTTGTTGCGGTCTCATTGCGGTCTCATTGCGGTCTCATTGCGGTCTCATTGCGGTCTCATTACAGTTTTGTTGCGGTCTTATTGCGGTCTCATTGCGGTCTCATTGCGGTCTCATTGCGGTCTCATTACAGTTTTGTTGCGGTCTCATTGCGGTCTCATTGCGGTCTCATTACAGTTTTGTTGCGGTCTCATTGCGGTCTCATTGCGGTCTCATTACAGTTTTGTTGCGGTCTCATTGCGGTCTCATTGCGGTCTCATTGCGGTCTTATTGCGGTCTCATTACAGTTTTGTTGCGGTCTCATTGCGGTCTCATTGCGGTCTCATTACGGTCTCATTACGGTCTCATGGCGGTCTTATTGCGGTCTCATTGCGGTCTCATTACGGTCTCATTGCGGTTTCATTGCGGTCTCATTACGGTCTCATTGCGGTCTCATTGCGGTCTCATTGCGGTCTCATTGCGGTCTTATTGCGGTCTCATTACAGTTTTGTTGCGGTTTCATTGCGGTCTCATTACGGTCTCATTGCGGTCTCATTGCGGTCTCATTGCGGTCTCATTACAGTTTTGTTGCGGTCTCATTGCGGTCTCATTGCGGTCTCATTACGGTCTCATTGCGGTCTCATTACGGTCTCATTGCGGTCTCATTACGGTCTCATTACGGTCTCATTGCGGTCTCATTGCGGTCTCATTACAGTTTTGTTGCGGTCTTATTGCGGTCTCATTGCGGTCTCATTGCGGTCTTATTGCGGTCTCATTACAGTTTTGTTGCGGTTTCATTACGGTCTCATTGCGGTCTCATTGCGGTCTCATTACAGTTTTGTTGCGGTCTCATTGCGGTCTCATTGCGGTCTCATTACGGTCTCATTGCGGTCTCATTGCGGTCTCATTACAGTTTTGTTGCGGTCTCATTACAGTTTTGTTGCGGTCTCATTGCGGTCTCATTGCGGTCTCATTACAGTTTTGTTGCGGTCTCATTACAGTTTTGTTGCGGTCTCATTGCGGTCTCATTACAGTTTTGTTGCGGTCTCATTGCGGTCTCATTGCGGTCTCATTGCGGTCTCATTGCGGTCTTATTGCGGTCTCATTGCGGTCTCATTGCGGTCTCATTGCGGTCTCATTACGGTCTCATTGCGGTCTTATTGCGGTCTCATTGCGGTCTCATTACAGTTTTGTTGCGGTCTCATTGCGGTCTCATTGCGGTCTCATTACAGTTTTGTTGCGGTCTCATTGCGGTATCATTGCGGTCTCATTACAGTTTTGTTGCGGTCTCATTGCGGTCTCATTGCGGTCTTATTGCGGTCTTATTGCGGTCTCATTACGGTTTTGTTGCGGTCTTATTGCGGTCTCATTACAGTTTTGTTGCGGTCTCATTGCGGTCTCATTGCGGTCTCATTACAGTTTTGTTGCGGTCTCATTGCGGTCTCATTGCGGTCTCATTGCGGTCTTATTGCGGTCTCATTACAGTTTTGTTGCGGTCTCATTGCGGTCTCATTGCGGTCTCATTACAGTTTTGTTGCGGTCTTATTGCGGTCTCATTGCGGTCTCATTGCGGTCTCATTGCGGTCTCATTACAGTTTTGTTGCGGTCTCATTGCGGTCTCATTGCGGTCTCATTGCGGTCTCATTGCGGTCTCATTGCGGTCTCATTACAGTTTTGTTG